CCGAGTTCAGTGTGGCAGCAACGTTAAGAGTATACACCTGATGATGGCCGATAGGTGCTGAAACATGTAGTGTAGAAAGAACAAGATCAAAGACATATAATATATATTGTTTGCACTTGGGACGGAATTTGTGTCATTTATTGTTTTTTCCAATTAAATTGACAATCTAAATACATACCTAAAAAATTAACATTATCAACATCTTTAAGGCTAAAATTATTTTATGTTACCGATAATGTATACTCTGGAGACTTAGGAGTCACAAATTTAATCAGGTGAGTTTTACTCAAATTAAGTACCAGATTGTTATTTCAAAACCAGCTTGAAACCCTAGTCATAACTCAATTTAATATTCAAAGAGTTTAGGTCATTTGAAGTAATTAAAATTGTTGTGTCATCCCCATACAAAATAGTACATGCTATATCCTTAAGAGTACCTGAGAAATCATTAATATAAACATTACACAACATTGGTCCCAGGACAGATCCCTGTGGAACACCAAACCTTACAGATTTCCATTCAGAGATTGTAGTAATCGAATTACAACTCTTTGCATTCTGTTATTTAAATAAGTCTCCAGCCATTTCAAAATAGGCCCTTTGACTCTATACATCTTCAACTTTTGAATCAACACATCATGACTGACACAATCAAAGGCCTCTGTCAAATCACAAAAAATACCTACCACAAACTCCTTATTGTTCCATGCTCTAAGAACAGTATCAGTTAGATTAAAGACTGCGGTTTGTGTAGAAACATCCTTACGGAAGCCATTCTACTCAGGAGCCAGGATATCATTTCTTATAAAATGCTGTTTGAGCGTGCTAAACACTAATATTTCAAATAATTTAGAGAAACTTGTCAATAAAGATATTGGTCTATATTTGGCAATTTCAGTAACATCACCTTTCTTAAAACATGGTATAATATTTGCATATTTCAATCGGACAGGACATATGTCCGAACTTACAGAAAGATTATAAATATAAGTAAGTGGTTTTGCTATCTGTTCACCACATAATTTAATAATTTTATTTGACAACGCATCATATCCGCAAGAAGATTTATTTTTTAATGAATTTATCATGCTTAATACTTCTGCCTTAGTAATTAGAATATTTACAATTTCAGAAATCTTATCTGTAGAGTACTCAGATGAAAGTGGTAAAAACATACATTATTAGAACTCTGACCAACTAATTTGTTAACTGAACTAAAAAAATATTAGTTAAATGCCTTAGCTTCATTCCTACTATCAAAACAGTAGAACTTACGTCAGCCATAGCTGGCATAAAAGTAAGGACACATTATGTACGAAGGGGGACCCAAAAATAACCGGAAACAACCTGTTGCGCGCGCATGCTTTGTAGTTACGAGTTGTGCTGCTAGGTGGTGTTGGCTGGGGGTCTCCTGCGACTGTTAGTGAGCTGGTGTCAGTCTGAGTTAAGTGGTTTGTCTGTGGTGCTCTGTTGTGTGTGTTCGTGTTTCAACCCTTTGGCGATTAGTGAGATGGCCGACCAGAAGGAACAAAGAGAGTGCATGAAATTTTGCTTTCTGTTAGGGAAAACTGCACTTCACTCTTCAAGTCGCGGCAAACATTCACACGGTTTTCTCTTTGGTCATCTCCAAGCAAGCGAGGAACAAATTTTGCAGACACCCGTCTCATGTGCAAACCTTCGGTTAAAATTCGCTGGACCGTGCTCCATGAGATGTTCGTTTCCTCAGAAAGTTGGTCAGTGGTCTTTGGACGATCTTCATCAATTTCACGCACACTCTTTGTTCCTTCTGGTCGGCCATCTCACTAATCGCCAAAGGGTTGAAACAGGAACGCACACAACAGAGCACCACAGACAAACCACTTAACTCAGACTGACGCCAGCTCACTAACAGTCACGGGAGACCCCCAGCTAACACCACCTAGCAGCACAACTCGTAACTACAAAGCATGCACGCGCAACAGGTCGTTTCCGGTTATTTTTGGGTCCCCCCTTGTAAGTGCACAGTTCTCCCAACAGAATGTAGCAAAGTGAATTGAAACTGGTCATTGCAGTTGGGTCATCTTTAAATTATTTGTTTACTTACTCATATAACAGGTCTTATACACACATGATGAGTGGAGTTATTGGATTTCATTTATTAACTTCAGGGTTTGTGGAGGTGTGCATTATGCACCCCCTTGATTTGGTGAAGACAAGGTTCCAGATCCAGAGTAAGAAAATCAGTGTTCCAGGAGATCCAAACTACTACACAGGCATTGCTGACTGCATGAAGAAAATGTATCAAAATGAAGGATTCTTTGCATTCTGGAAGGGTGTATTACCTCCTATTCTAGTTGAAACTCCAAAACGGGCAGTTAAAGTAAGTGAACCTGTTCTTTTTAAGATGCAATTTAGTGTCTTCTCTTATTCATGTTTGTCTCCCAATTGGTCTTTTCCATTCAGATTTTCCAGTCAAAATTTTATGTGAATTTCTAATCTCTCTCATGCATGCTGCATCCCCTCCTATCATATCCCTGATTTCATCAATTAATTTGGTAAATAATACAAATTACAATACTTACTATACAAAATTTAATTTCCTTTATTTGATTTAATTGCAGTTTTTTACATTTGAGCAGTACAAAAAGTTATTCCTGTTCGGTTCATCTGCACCAACACCACTGGTATGTTTTCATTGCTGCTGTTTTGGCACTTTTTCTATTTATATATAGAAGAAAAAAGCTGTTGTCTTGAGTCCACAGTCTGATTTGTTTGCAGACTTTTTCACTGGCAGGCTTGGGTGCTGGAGTGACGGAGGCAATCCTTGTCAATCCTTTTGAAGTGGTAAAGGTGTCATTGCAAGCCAATCGTTCTCATCTGAAAGAGGTCCCTAGCACATGGACAGTCACAAAGCAGATTGTGTCCACTCAGGTATGAGTAAGCATATGAAGAATATTTCCTTGAATTTATGTCCTCGTCATTCCCCCAGGTAAACTCTGTGAATACGCAACCTTCCAATAAATAATATCTTATCCTGAATGTCCCCAAACATGTTGCAGGGTATTGGCTTCCAGGGCCTGAACAAAGGTGTGACGGCTACAATTGCAAGAAATGGAGTGTTCAACATGATTTACTTTGGATTCTATCATTCTATGAAAGGCTATCTCCCAGAGTATAAGGTGGGTATTATGCAGTTTGCATGCTGTGAGGTTCATGTGCTGCTCATTCATGCTACAGTTGTTACTGTGCCTGTGTTGATTAAGTTTCAAAATCAATTTAGAACCCACCACTGGCACCACCATTGCTTGGGCTTTTGGCCTGTTCCAGCTCCTAACAAAACTCTTGACTCCATCTCATTTGTTGGTATCAACATTTCCTCCCATGAGGTCTGTAGTTCAGTGCACATTTTGAGATCTGCTCCTCTTTTTTTCTTCTGAAATGTTCATACCAACTTTCCTGATTTTCTTAATCATGGATAGCAATGAGGTCATGTAAAGTGCTTGTCTTATGTCTTAATTATATTTTGTCTCCAGTAGTTTTTACCCTGTTGCTGTTCTTAAAGAGGTGTATTTTATATACTGCAGTTTGTTTGCTTTGTTGTGAGGTCAGAGGCAAGCTCTGTGAACCATATCGGATAGTAGGTACTGCAAGGAGTTTATAAAATATTAAAATTGTTTGTTTTTGGGCTTCTCCTAAAGTGTCAGTTTTATTATGCCACAAAGTTGCTGGAACTTATGCAGTTTCGATTCCATGTCTTAGTTTTTTGTCCAGCCTAATACGAATCCTAAATAACTGAAATGTTTAACTTGTCCTATTATGTTGCTCTTAATCGCAGTGTTTACTTTAATGGGATCTTAACCTTTAAATGGTAAAACCTAAGCTTGCTCTTGTGATATATCCATGTTGTATCTTACTGCTGTCATAGTAAGTTTATGAGTACCTCTCTGCAGTTCATCTTCTGAAGATGCAAACACTGCAAGAGCAAGAAATGTAATATTCGTTCACATATATCCCATATGAAAAGGTATTTATATCCTTATATCAGTTTTGGTTATGTTCTATGTATATGTAAAAAAAATCAGCGATTATTGTCTTTTTAACGAGATTGCTGTCACTGACATGCATGCTGACCCCATTTGAATATTTAACCTTAGTTATATCATTTATATACAAGAGGAAAATAAGTGGGCCAAGAATTGAACCTTGGGGTACACCAAATTTTACTTCTGCCCAACTAGATGAGCTATTAATAGAACTGGAAGGATTAGTTAAATTGAAAAAATCCACCTCATTGGGACTCAAAATAAATATGTTTGATAGTGAAGTAAAATTAAGGTTGGTTTATGAGTATGCAACTGTGTGATTACAGGATCCTGTGCAAGAATTCTTCCGTAAGGTTGGCATTGGTTTTGTATCAGGTACATTGGCATCTTGTGTCAATATCCCATTTGATGTTGCAAAAAGTCGGATTCAAGGACCACAACCAGTTGCAGGAGAAATTAAATATAGGACTACATTGAGCTCAATGGCTATTGTATACAGAGAAGAAGGGTAAGTGTCATACTCCCTCCCTCCCTCTCTTTTATCTCTCCAGTCTCAATGCTTGCAATCATATTGCAAGACATGTGGTTGTTACCATTTCCACCCTAGTCACTCTAAGTTTATAGTAGAATGCAGTGAAATTCTCAAGAGGATATCATCTGGATAATAGTATAAATGATCAACTGGAAACTTATTTCTGACCGAAACAAATATGTGCTTCTTTTGTATGGATATTTTCTTCCACACAGAACTGCAAAGCAGGACAAACATTCAATAGTAGGAAAACAAACATCCATACAAAAGAAGCATACAAATACATACTCCAAAGAGAATAAAACTTCAGTCACAATACTACATAACAAAATCAGAAAAAAAAAATACATACAGAACTAGTAACAACAATAGTACATGAATAATTATCCATAAGACATAAAACAAATGTTAACAACGAATCCCATAAGACATTATCACCCTCTGATATATGACAAGGATCATGGATACCAACAAGACATACACACTAGTATAAATCATTTTAATCCTAAGATTAATTATAATATATAGAAATCATTGGATTTTAAAAAATAATACTAATATGGATCAATCTTAGGACAATTCAGTAACAAGCAGCATAATTAAGAAAACAATGATGAACCAAATCATGGAACGAAACTTGTAGCAGATGTTAAAACTATGTTAATACAGTGATATTGGATTTTGTTAAAAAAAATTGTTGTGTTAATGGCCAAAAAACCACAACACACAACAGGATGCAGACAATAAAGATAGCTACATTATTTTAATGTTCCAGATGGCGTGCTCTTTATAAAGGTCTCCTACCCAAGGTCTTGCGTCTTGGACCAGGTGGTGCTATCATGCTGGTAGTGTATGATTATATGTACCACTATCTGACTCTCAGATTTCCAGACTAGATGAGTCTGATCTTCTCATTTATTGAAGTGTTAAGTATGCCACCAAGTGCCTGTAACTTAGTTACTTGCAGATTTGTTGCTTATGTTGAACTTTATATATTATGTACAGTATAGATAGTTTATATGTTTTATAATATTTTTATGTAAAAAATCAGACTGTTACCCCAGAAAAAAATGGATTCTAATGAAATGCTATTCATTTGTTGGTAATAAAATAACATTTTCATTGTAATGTTTGAAGATTTTTGCCAGTGCATGAAGTAAGTAAAGGTATCCCTGTAACAGGCTGTGGAGGCCCATAGGGTTGTGAGATGTTGAGGTTCCCACATTTTCTAGACAGTGGGCTCATAGATGGTGGTAAGGTTGTCAGCCTCACGTGCTGGCCGCCCTTTACCCCAAGAATATTCCTGTACTCATTTCTGTTAGAGGCTGAGTCGACGCCAGGGCCATAATGCAGCTGGAAGGATTAGGTAAATTGAAAAAAATCCACCTCACATAACATTAAATTGCATAGTCTTAGCTGCACTGCTAGTCATATTATAACTTTTCATGCATGTTGAACTTTGCCAGGAACTGGTGCAAAAATAAAACACAAAAAAGTTTGTGGAGCACCATTAAGAGGAATGTAACGTGTAGTTAATAAAAGGTTTGGAAAGTTACTCCATGTTTTGAATGCTTATAGTTAATAATAAAGAAGATATAGAACAAATTACTGTAATTCTGTGAGTAAGGGAAGTCCAGACAGAATATGTGCTCTGGTATATGAACTTATACAGGAAGAAGATAATAGCTGAGAAGAAGCATTTGGTCATAAATTTCAAGTCTTCATCTTTGCTGATTCCTGCTTGACTTGTTTTGGAGAGAAAAATATAAGCTTGTCATTATTAAATGCTGCGGGTTGCCTATTGTATTGTATCATAACCTGTCTTTAACAGTAAGTAGTGGTCTAATATACTGAAACAGTAACTTCAAAAACAAACTTTTAGGATGGACAGTTTTGCAATAATGCAGATATGTTGCTCTGTTTGTGAGAAAAGTCTTGCCCAAAGCTAATGAATGTAATGCATGTTATACAAAGGCTTATTTAGAGGAACATCAACATTTTGAGCTTCCTTAAACATGAAGAAAAAGTTCTGGGGAAAACTAATCACCTTGTTTCCTTAGATATGACATGAAAAGCATAGAAAATGATGCCACCAACAATTCCTCATTGCCATGGGAACATGCGTGGTGTGTGTGTGTGCTCCTCTCACTAGCACCTACAACAATTGATTGGGTCTTATTCATATTCTATATTTGGTTTGTCCAACATAGGTCAGTGCCTGGTGAATAATGGAATTTTAACAAAAAATGGGCCCTTCTGGGAGCCTCAAACAAAATATGGCAATTATCTCGAAAATGGCCCTATTGGTACTGATTACATTTCAGTAATTTCTTGAGGCCATCTCCCTAAAAAACTGCATAGGTGTTATCTTCACGAAAATAACAGCATGTATACCAGAAATCCATATGTGTAATGTCAGTTTTGCCTAAACTGGCTTTACTGGGCTGACAGATTTCATTGTCATTTGGTATCCTGTAACCAGCTGTGGTCTACTGAGCAACAGTCAGTTCAGTTTCTAAGGTAATGACTAAGTCATGGTCAGCTATTTATGATGAGATAAAGAGTCAACATGAAATTGTGTTCAGACTTGAAAAGAAAACAACCGAAATCTCCAAAATGTTAAAGCAAGTGTATGGAGAAAGGGTTATATCAAGAGTACTTGTTTTTAATTGCATAAACAGCCTTCCTAAGGAAGGAACACAGTTGAGATTTACAGCTGACCTGGACGTTTATCATCAAAATTGAATGATAAAGCCAAAAAGTTGAGAATCCTAGTGTGGAGTGATCCACATTTTACTGTCAGAATAATTTCAGAAGAATTTAATATCAACAGAGAGACCGTATGATTGATTTTATTTAAAAATTTAAAGATGAAGGAAGTTTATGCAAAGATAGTGCTTAAGAACTCAACTAATGGACAGTTGCACTGGAGAATGGAAGTTGATTCTGATGTTTTGCAACATATTGAAGAGAAGAGGGGAATGATCAGAGTTGTTATTGAGGATGAAGTTTGGGGGTGTTCAACATAATCCTGAGAGTGTGTGGCAGGGCATGCAATTGAAATCTCAAGGTTCACCCATTCTGGATGCATGGATGTCAAAAAGTCAGGACAATGCTGGTCTATTTCTTTGATTGCAAAGGTGTAGTACATCAAGAGTTATATCTCTAAGTTTTGAAACATCTGATACAGCAGGTTCATTATGTGAAGCCAAAACTGTTTCGAACCAGTTGATCCTGCACCATAACAGTGTGCTCTCACACATAACTCATTCCATCAAGAAATGTGGAGTGAGAAATCAGTCATGGGCATGGAACATCACACTTATCAGGTGTTACTTGTGTGTAACTTCTTCCTTTTCTATACCGTAAAGAACTGTGTCAACATATAACATCATGGAAGAAATTCAGAAGGTTATGACAACCTTTCTGAGCTACTTGAGGGTTAGTGACTCCTGGAAATACTTCATCAGATGGAAACAACACTGAAATTCATGGAGGAAGAACCACTTTGCAGACATATACAGTTCAGAATAAAATTTAATACAGTACTGCCTGTGAGTACTGTTTCATTATTCACTTGTAAGATGTGGTATATGAAAAAATACTGTGATGATGGAATAAATAAGGCTTTAGATTTTGATGGACGTGCACCTCATTAGCACCTGAACGGTTGGACAGATTTTATGTGTAGTTTGTGTTTTAGAGTTATCCATCTAAGTTAGTGCACAGTGAGTATGATCACAAAATAAAGCTATATTTTTCTTTAACACAACTAACAATTCTGATTATGTTTCAGTAATTTGTGAAGATCATCTCCTAAATAAAACTGCATAGATGATATCTTCAAAAAAAGTAACAATATACATGCACTAGGTCCCAAGTGCAAAATGTCAGTTTTGTGTAAACTGGCTTAGGCAGTTTACAGATATCACTGCTGTTGTGTATTCAGTAACCAACAGCAATATATTGAGCAATGTTCAATTTCATATCCAGTCATATGTGAGGAGATGTGTCTCTGTACTGATTTTTTAAATTATTGATTGTAAAACAACTTGCAGAATATGGTCATGCCTGCAGGTGGATGAGAGACATTACAATCAGAATAAGAATTTAGAATCTGATCATAAGTTTTAAGTTGTCTTTAGTACCATAGCTGGATTAGTGAAACATTGCAAGTACAGGCTGAGGACACTGCTTTCTATAATTTACACAGTTTATAGCTCTCCAGGAGGAAGCACAGCATGAGGAAGTTGTGTTACATTTGACAGGATTGCAACATAATCAACAGAACGTGTTAAGCTTCTGATTTCCTCCATTCACTAAACACATCTTGGATAGCTTTTATCAGCTTTGATTACACTGGATAACTATATGATATAGCAAGTAAATTTCATCATTTGAGGTATGTGTTTTTATAATCCAAGCTAGTTCACATTGTTTCAGGCATGCAAATTTTGTAGTTATTACTGTATGCTTAGTTCTTCTCAGTAACATTTTAAAATGGAAACAAAATTTATTTTGTTAATTGCTGACTTTTGAAGAATTAACATAACCTGTTTCCAAATTTCTAAAAGAAAATTCTTGCTGTGGTTATTTTATTCATCATAAGGTTGCATATGAAGCTTGAAGTAGAATTTGATTACAGAGATGTGTATTTTAGAACTTTAGTAAGGGTGTCATAGTCATAGCATTACAGTAACATGAAAACAAATTAAAGTGACACTTTTGTTGTGTATTCCTAGTCAGTAATAGAATGTTACTATGGTTAACTCCATACGCTTCATTGACTGTGAACATTCTGTTCAGATCTTTAACCCCTGAGCACTACTTACAGAGGCACACAGATTTGCCTGCCAGCTGCATTTAAATGGTCTCTGGGTTATATCAAATTGGAAAAAGAGAATAAGTCACTCGTGGAGTAACTCTCTGATCTTTAACTGGGTCCAAAAGTTTTATTTTATTGTCCATGGGTGAGTGCAATAATTTGGCTTTACTAATCACCCGTTACATTGTTATAACAGTGCATACATGCAATCCAGCTAGAGAAGTGTTACATTTTGTTAATACTAATACTGAGAAGAGGAATGCATACAGAGTTCTGGTAAGAAAACCTAGAGGAAAGACACCATTTATATGACCTAGATATAGATGAAAGCATGATGTTGAACTGAATCTTGAAGAAATAGGATGGGAGGGTGTCAGGTGGATTCATCTAGATTTGGTTAGCTTCTAGTGGCAGGTTCTTGCAAACAGTTATGTACCTTCAGCTTCCATAAAATGATGGGGACTTCTTGACTAGCTGAGCAGCTGTTAGTTTACCAAGAAAGGCTGTGTTCCATGGCATTAGTTAATTCTCTTGCTCCTGAGCTAATATCAGGCTGCCAGCATCATAGTAGAGGAGGATTTAAAATTTCCTGTACCTGGGTGATGAAGATTAAGAGAAATGTAATGGACTCTACAGTTATGAATAGTGCTTTGTTCATCCAGTATGCATACCATCAGACCAGTCAAAAGTCACACATTTGCTGATGCATTGTATGTTTTGACCTTGCTGCTAAAGCTGAGCATAAAGTCCTCCAGATGTGATTTTGGATGAAAAGAAAATGCTGGTTGAAATCATACATTTCCATAATGTATAGAAGGGAAGGAATTGTATGATTATAAAGTTTTGGATTATTGTTGAATTTTAATGTGTATAAAGAAATTATAAAATAATAATATATACTAAAATTAATATATTTATAGCTGTATAAAATAAGATGCCAAAGATGTCATTAACCTTGCAATATAATAATTTTTGATGTTGAATCTTATTGTGTTAGATTTATTCTTAATCTGTTTGTAAAATGTTTGTACAGTGAAATGTTGCAACAATAAATGTTAGAGTAACATTCTTGGTATTACAGAAAAATTTCTTGGTCCCTGTGGCTCAGTAGAAAAATCAATTTCACAAAACTTCAGTTTAGCAACTAAATACATAGTGCACATTTATAATCAATAACAAAGCCTATAACTTTACACAACTAATTACTTTGCTATACAAAACTTTTGCAAAGTCTAATCAGCATGAAAGTTTCAAAAGTGAATGAGTTCTGTGATGATTTAGAAAGTCAAACTTTCACATAATATGAGATTTTCAATTTACATAATAATTTTTTTACAGTGGAATTTAATTTGAATGAATAAAGTATGCTTTTACATCAGCTAAAGTACTTATTTTTAACAACATTTTAATGATGAAAGTCATAATTGCTGTTGTCACATGTTCAAGCAGTTTTTCCCTCTTCCTCCCCCCCCCCCTTTCAAATATTTGTTTAGTATATTTAATATTTTCAGTAGCTTTCCTGGCTTTAAAATCAATCACTTTCTCTCCATTTGGAAAGCATTGGGATCAGAGTCAAGTATTTAAAATTGTCTTAGTGATTTGAAATGAAAACTATTATTAGAGTTTTCATTTGTGTTCTGTAATTACACTGTGCATGTGAGCTGTAATGAAACTTCAGTAAGATTAAAGATGATTATTTAATTCACAGGATACGACTGTGTGATTTTATGGCAAAACAACAATACATATGACAAGGCTACAAGCAGAAGATACATAATGATATCTAAATATTTACCTTAATTAGCTGGTTGCTGCCCGCTACTATGTGGTGCCATCACATTTTGAATTTGTACTTCTCCATCTTAGAAATTTTGGCAAATTCTTTTCCATTCATAAAATTTGCACATTCAATGTATTTGATACTGTAGTTCAAATACATTAGTTCACCTTCTACAATTTCAACCTTCAGACAATTCCTTTCATTGTTCAAATGTTTTGTATGACACTAAACACTCACTCCATGAAATTATTTAATTTTGGTATGGCCAGAACATGTTGAACAGTTTTGAGCAAGAAAGGTGCTTTGTGTCACTTAAAAAAGTAACCCACAAATTAAAAATATTATGGTTTGATTGCTTTCTTTGTTCTCAGAATGACTTTGTACAAGTTCTTCATTAATAAAGAGCAGAGTTACATTCAAATCACAAATCTCAAAAAAAAAAAATAAATAAATAAATAACTGGTCACCATCCACTTCCACACTCAACAAATTCAGCAACCTACCCATGGCATCAATACAAAAAGGTCTATAGAAATAATCTTATCAGAAATCAATAAAGTCTAGCATTCGAGTGTACAGTCACTGAGTACCCCAGATGAAAGTCTTTTTGTTCCTGTGGAAAAGGTTATCAAATTCTGTGATAGCTGGAATCCACAGAAATTTTGCCTGCTACAATTTTTTTTTTTGTTAATACTGAGTATAGTTCAGTGATCTGTATGTAATTACTTTCTACTTGATTAATGCTTACATTACACAGATTCATGACAAAAGTATAGTTCTATAAGAGTCAGTTCATCAGCAGCTTCACAGTCATTTTTGTAAGTAACAAATGTCCATATCCCTCTGCTCATGTTTCCTTCACCTTGGTCCAAATAATAAGACTTTGTTACTAAACAGTTTTTAAGTAATCTAGCCACAGTAGCAAACAAGCAGAGGAAGGGAGCAGGAACATGAAGACATAATACTCAGTTTCCAGAAATATGAAAATATATTTCAACTCATTAAGTTCCTTTGCACTGGATAAGAGTTCATTATACGCTTTAATTACTGACATTTCAGTATCACATGACAATTTTTGTCTGTGTTTGGCAGCACTGTGTAGTATGTGCATATTGCAGTGACCAGCAATGAGACAGGCAAATGAAATGAGTTCACTAACTTCATAAATTCTGACATTCTTCCTGTAACTAACTGTCTGCATTGTGTGCAGCTAACTTTTCCCAGCAGATCTGCTTTAGAGATATAGTCTCCTTGGATGTTTCATCTGAATCTTTGTAAAATTAAAAAATTGCCACTAGATAAAACTGTAAATTGGCTTTACTGGATGTGCACCAGGCAATGGAAAATGGTCCACTGCCTATTTTTTCAAAATTGTAGTGAGTGAGGTGCCAATATATTTTGAACTGGCACTTCCACTTTCATGCACCCACAGTGGATTTTGGACGCTAATTTAGAATTTCTAAATACAAAGTGCAGCAACAGTGAATTTACAAGTCTTGGGACAGATAATTACGAATAACTAGTGGTGTTTTGTCATCTTCATATAACAGCCAGTCTCAGACTGCCTCATTTCATAGCCACTCATCTCCTTTTTGTCTTTGGGAGTGTGAGATAATTATTCATATTTCCAAATAAAACAACTATAAAGAACTGCAATATTATAGCAAGCTCAATAAGGTTCAAATTGCACTAAACGGTCACTGCACAACTGGTATAACTCTCAAATTACAATAAATTGATTCATGGTAGTTATTTCTATTGATGGCAACATAAGTTCAATCAGTTGAACACCTACAGCTATGAAAATCAATGGCAAATCCCCATCCAATTCATTTTTCTTTTCATACATCAGATTGTTTTTGGTCATGGATGATTAGTGATAGTGAAATACGTGTATTATGAAATGGGCATTCGTAGGACCAAGATTGTTCTTAAGAACAATGGATTCTTTCAAGAAGACACCTCATATTCCAGAAGGATGCCATCTTCTGGCTTCTGGTGCTGGTTAGAGCCTGTGTGAACTGACGTTTTGGAGGAACGTATCCCCTCCATCTTCTGGGTAGAAAAATCCGCAATCGAGGATCGCTGCAGCCACCTGCTCATGCTGGTTCCTTTCTCACAGTGGGTGAAGAATGGTGTCTTCTGGGATGTGGTGCCCTGTAGAGCCTGTGTGAACCGACGTTTCGGTTGAACGTATCGCCTCAATCTTCAGGGTAGAAAAATCCGCGAGCGAGTCTCGCTGCAGCCACCTGCTCAGGCTGGTTCTTCACCCGCGGACTTTCCTACCTTGAAGATGGAGGCGATACGTTCCTCTGAAACGTCGGCTCACACAGGATCTGCACGGCGCCACATCCCAGAAAACGACATTCTTCAGTCACCGCTGTGAAAACCTCAAATCGTACATCTCATATTTCTGTTTTAAAGTCTTCACAGAAGCAAGAGTTGCTATAAATTTTCGGATCCACTTTAGACAGGACTTAGCCCAGTCGTGTACTGTGACCTGACATTTCATTCAAAAGCCGGGCTGCCCTTATCTATGATCCAGACGAAGTTCATACAGTATGCAACCCTATCGTATGGCGAAACTAAGGCCTTTTTGAAGAGTTCTATCATCTGGGATGTAACGCCGTGTAGCGCGGTAAAAGTTAACCGACAAGTGGCTCCATTCGCCTCCTGCTTTCAAGCTCGGCTTGCTCGGGCTTAGTCTTCGGGTCTTCGGTTCTGAACGTTCTGAAGGTGCTAGCGAGGCTAGCGAGGATCCTCTAAAACGCTCTAAAAAGTCGATTGACTCTATCTGAAGACTACGCCGAAAACTACGCATAGCGCTTACATATCAAGCGACTGCAACCTTTGAACATGAACACACCTCATCTGCATTACTTTGTTATCTTGGCCAACACCTATATGACGTCATCTTTAATCGAATTCCGAAGATGTAGAAGGTTGCCACCAGGTGTCAGCGAATCCTATAAGGAAGCAACATGGTGCATGATTGTTATGCTGTACCGCGTTGTCCAGAAACCGTTATTTACTTTAAAACAGTTTAATATCCTGTATGTGAGTATTTTCTGTTGATAAGTATATATGTATTGTTAGTAACGAAAATAATGGAAAGTCTCGGGTTGATATATTACTGTACTGTAACTCTACTGTCAAACTGTCATATCTTTCTAGGCCTAGTTAATTAAATGTATGAAATGTGCAGGTTTTAATTTTCTTGTGCCGAGGTTTGTGTAACTGGAGCAGTTGTGCACACCTGGTGTTCGAAATATCATCATTTTATTTTGACAATAGAAAAAGTGTTCTGTTTAACCAATTTATGAGAATGTGAGGTTATTTGAGGGGATGTACGTTTAGGCCTGGAGAACGTTTGCATTATGTAATAAGCTTTCGTTTTGTAAGGGATCTAAAGAGTAAAGAAGCAACTATTTCATTCATGTTTGAATTCCATGTTGACAGAATTACATAGTTTAAAGGTAGCAAGGAATCTCAGGCGTTATGTTATAGTGCTGATTAATGTATTTTAATGTAATAGTGTCACTTGAAGTTGATAGAGATTAAACTGTCCCTGTGATCTTTACATTTGAACACATTTTCAGAGGATTTAACTTTACATTATAGTGACCAGTTACCCGGGCAAGTTGGATTTGTATATATTTCAACCAAGAACCATAAATGAACCCCACCCTAAATAATATGTTAGTGACCATACACAAATTAGAATATGTGAAATTAAAAACTATATGCCAGTCTCAAATTCAGAAACAGTTGTGAAGGATCACAGTGTTTTAAAGTAGTGCACAGGGCACTCTTAATTGAAAGCATGTTTTCAAATTTGGAGTAAGACACAACCCCACTTGTGAGAGGTACCTAGGCAGAAGTTAAACAGCCTCACATGCTCTATATGACTGTGAGACCTTAGCTAATGTAAGGTTTCCTCACCTGGAATATTATTTTATGGAACCAGGTGACTGCTTGGATGCCCTGTTAAGTTAAATACTGCAGTTCATTCAAAGTGTGGGAGTGCTTGGGAGCTAATTAGGAGGGATACAAAATACTCTTAGATTGTAGACATCACAGTGTAAGGACCTGATTGGTCTGTCCCTTATTCATTTATTTATTCTATTGTAGTTTGTTTCAGCATTGGTTCTAGACAAATAGAAAATCTTGCAACATGTATTCAAGAAAGCCGTTATCATGATCGTGTGGAATCCTTGCTTTCAGTTACTCCAGACATGTTTTCAAAGAAAAAGAAGAAGCCACAGATTTCTCCACCAACAAACTTTGAACACCGAGTTCACACTGGCTTTGATAAACGTGAGGGACGTTATGTGGGCCTTCCTCTACAGTGGGCAAGCATTGTTGGAAATAATCAAATCCTAAAAAGTACAAATCGCCCACTACCATTAGTGGATCCATCAGAAATCACACCAACAGAAATTTTGGATTTAAAGGTATGGTAAAAATAATCTAAATAAACATGATGAAGCAGACAACAGATTGTATTAGTAGATAAAGAGAGTTGCCTCTTGACACTGCAAGCAGCCACACCTTAGCCACGCTACAAAAATGGACCTCACAGACTAAAAATAATAGCTGGGGATTGGATGTCTTGCTCAGGACTATCCATGCATTACCTGTGAACTCAGAGATACAGCACAATTTGGATATGACCACATATCCAAATATATAAACCTCATAAGATGGCTAACAACTTACAAATCACAATGTTCCTACGCCACAGATAATTTCAGTAAGCTGCTAGTACAGCCACATACCTCTGTATAAACTAACTAACTTGGTGGAGCTGAGCTCTTCTTGAGAAGCCACCAATTGTGGAGCTACTCAAGAACTTCTCAGCATTTTTGGAACCTGAAGGTTCATTACCAGGTTTCAAGAGTCCTCCACCGGCCCCTATCCTGAGCCACATCGATCCAGTCCATACCTTAGATCCATTTTAATATTGTTCATCCACCAGTATCCTGGTCTTTGTTGTGGTCTCTTTCCTTCTGACTTTCCCACCAATATCCTGTGTGCATTCCTCTTTGCCCCCATTCATGCTAGATGCCCTTCCAATCTCATCTTCTATGACAACATGATCATTCTAGTTATGTTTGGCAAGGAGTACAAGTTATGAAGCTCTTCATTATGCAGTTTTTGCCTTACATCCAAATATTGTCCTTAGCACCCTGTTTTCAAACACACTGAATCTATGTTCCTCCCTTAATGTCAGAGACAGTGTTTCACACCCATATAGAACCACAGGCAAAATTGTAGTTATGACATACCTCTGTAGACTAGAGATAAAAAGGTGGTGCTGCAGTAGAAAGCAAGAGAACCATTACAAAAAGTAAAGAGATCCACAACACCTTCCATGACCCAACCACATCAGTCTCACTGCTCAAAAATAAATTCCTGAATAAAAACACACAGAAATTTGCACACACCCATCAAACCACACATAACAGTCACCACAATACAGCAATATTATATACATGAAATCACACCTAACCTTGTCCTCAGTTTTGAAGGATTTTGATGTTTTAATACTAAATTACAGCCATATCTCAATTTGAAAAAAGGAACCCATTTTATAGAAATTCACTTTAACATCAACTTGCAGTTTGGTGACATTATACTTATTTATTTATTTATTTCTAATCTACCCATTGATGATCTTTTAGAATCAAAACATGTAGTGGTATAGTATAACCACAGCAAATTAATCTCGACACTCTTGTCTGTTTTATTTTATATTCAAGTCGTCATCATGGTGGCCCTTGTATACTGTCATCCTCTAGTGGAAGCAAAATTACTGGACATTGAACTATTTTTGGCTTATAAAATATGTAGTTGAAAGATGGACTCAGATAATTTTTCTTTGAAAACTTTGAAATCCACTTCCCAGTCTCTTTGTATCGCCATCTTCCCCTGAATCCTCACTATTCCCTACCTGTGCACCTGAAACTACAGAGCTAACCAACATTATATGCAGTTCTTTCAAGGCATTACACATCCCTTAGGTGGAGGAGACTGCCTTCTGATATGTAAGGTAGCTAAGAATCTATTGAATAAACAGTTGCAGGCAGCCAGCATGCAACACAGGGTAATCCTAAGGCTGGGTGGGGGCTACAGCTCCTCATAACAGTTACTTATATCAGATTTGACCAGAATCCACCCAACCCTTGTTATCTTCATGAAGTAAACAACTTTCATTTGAAATATTTTTTTTTGAAGCAGATGTAATATTGTGCTGGTACACATTTGCGCTTTTTACTCCACCAATTTTTGAGGAACCAGTCAAAGAGTGTGGGATGGGTGGTATATGTAACATGCATGGGGAAGATGGAAGATAAATACAAATTTTTGCCATAAAATCTAAAGGGAAGAGACCACGTGGGAGATCTAGGTGTAGGTAAAACATAGAAAAGGTAAAGTTGTCCCTGCGCTTAACTAATTAAGCACTATACCATTAAGGCATATGGGGAAGTGGATGTATAGATCCACATTTTTTTACCTCAGCACTAGTTGGAAGTGAGTGGTCAGCTTCACACCCCGGGCACTTTACCCCTGGGGAAAGAGCCCCCAGTACCCATTGGATAGGAGGTTGGGTGGACCTCAGAGTCAGTCTGGACAATGTGGGGAAGAGAAAATTGTTGATCCTACTGGGGCTCAAAATCCGACATCTTGGTCATCCAGCCCATAGCTAGTTGCTATCCTGGCTCCTAGACCTAGACATAGGTGGAATGTTAATATTAAATTGGACTTTAAAGACAGGATATGAGGTTATGGACTCCATTCACTCATTTAGGATGGGATCTAGTAATGGGCTGTCATGAATGTAGTAAAGAACCTACAGCTTCCATAAAAAATCATTCCTTCACTCGCTGAGTGATCATTGGCTTCTCAAGAAAGGCTTGCTCCATGATGGTCAGTTAATTATGTAACTTAAGTTAACTGGAGTGTGGATCAAACAATTGTGTTAGATGGCTATATATTTAAGATTTATAATTTCACATTTCTGCTTTTGTTGTTTAGACTATAGTCAGAGGAGACCCAAGACTTAATGGCATTCCCAAAACTTCCAATGTCGCACGTTCCAACTCTTTACGATCATCCAGCCCACCAAGATTACGAAGGGACAACAGAGCCAATGCAAATGTTCCACCCTCTGTTCCTGAAGGAGAGGTGATGAGTGTGCCACCACATCAGTATCCTAATAACCGCCGTGATGCTCGAGATTCTGCATATGTGAGTAGAATATTTCTGTATGCTAGTACAGTATTTGTACAGCTTTACACAAAACAAAATTCATTACATCCTAATTACAAATAATAAAAGTAAAAGTAAAGCTATCCCTGTAACAGGCCCTGAAGGCCCATAGGGTTGTGAGACTTTAAGGGTCCCACATTATCTAGACAATTGTCTCAAAGATGGTGGTAAGGTTGTCAGCCTTACACGCCAGCCATGCTTTACTCCCCAGGAAAATTATTTCATTAATTCCTGGTACTCACTTCTGTTAGAGGCTGAGTCGACCCCAGGACCATAGTGCAGCTGGAAGGATTAGGTCAGTTGAAAAAATTCAGTGACCTCATCGGGACTTGAACCCACGACCTAATTACAAATAGTGGAGTTGAGAACTCAGAATTAGAATATAGATAGATGGAATTTTTAAATTAATGTCAGTATAGGACACAAATTTGTGGGCCGATTATTATTTCATATTAAATTCTGTTCTGTTTTCTATCAACTTTTGTTATTTTTTAGATTCCATAGTTCTTTCATCATGGGTGGAGAGTATTATATACATGTGTTTTTAGACCATCCGGTATTCTGTAGAATACAAAACATGACATTTCAGAAACCGGATCTGTTTCTGTCCTCAGGTGAAGGGGGGAGAAGGCACCTACTCAGTTGGGTCGCTTGATTGAGATTAGCTCTTTCTAAGGGGCCCAACTGAGTACATGTCTTCTCACCCCTTCACCTGAGGACAGAAACAGACCCAGTTTCCAAAACTTTGTGTTTTCTATTTTCTAGAATACCAGACAATGGAAAAAGTAAAAAACCCAGTAATTCTATGTGCAAAATATTTACATGTGAAAGCTCAAAATTTTTTAATTTGGAATTAGTTTTCAAACTTATCCATTTCCTGTGTCCACAGATGTTACGTTTACCTCTTTAGGCTAATTAAAACGGTTCTATCCAAATTCCAATAGAAAAGGTTTATAGGAAACTGGATACTTGGACAAATACAGTTTACTGTTAGACTGGTTCTTGCAGCTGACACACCACTCCTTTCACAGGCGCACTATGATAGCCACTAGCTCATGGCACTTATTCATGTTGGCATCCATTCTTGCCAGCCTTCATTCCATCATTTGTTCCATCTCCATAATGCGGCAGTATAGTGCACTCGTAAATTCAGTTAACTGTTCTAAATTGTGGTGTGTTTAATTTCGTAACCAATTCTGACACCAGTTGTAGCGTGTTTGGCTACTGAAGACGCCATTCCGATTGGTAATTGGGTTTATTAACCACTTACAGGTCGTAACTACAATTACTTATGACACTCTTGCTGATTTACACAACTTGCACTCACTACACGCTACTCTCTTCACTCTGTCTTCAGTAGTTTTCATGTATTTATAACAAGGGAGCTATACAAATCTCACTGAATTACACACTCCCAATACCACTGCACTATAGCGCATGTAAGGTCTTGAAATCACACAATAAGTCTTCACTGGCTGACTTCTCAGCTATTGCACAGTATCACTGATTATCTCACACAAAATTTTCTAATCACACGTTCAGGTCTTCTTCCTCCTACAGCTGTCTCGCACTCACTCGAATAGCTGACTAACTCTTGACCAAGTTGTTCAACTGACTCCTCAGAAATTGCAGTTTATCGTATAAACCCTCAATCAGACAGGTGGAAAATGCAGCTTGTCGTCTGTTGCATAATCGCCATGTTCACAGAGGTGTTGCTGGGCAATGCTGTCAAGAGATTTTTACTGCTATGCTGCGTAGCAACAGGCTCAGTGAGGGGGGTGTGTGATGTCACTTGTGGAAACGTAGAAGTCACATGATTCCTCACTACTGCAGTATGACATCATTGCGCCTGAGGGGGAGTCTTGTTTAATGGCTGGCTCTTGGAAGCAGGTTGTGGGAAAAACATATCGCATGGCAACTAATATCCTGGTTTAAAACTACAGTGTTGCTTTGCTGCACCATCCTGTATTGTGATGTAATATAAAACTTGGAAAATAAATTATGCACTGTTGGTAGCATGCAATAAAGGCCTCCTGTCCTGATGATATGCTTAGGCAAAATTCCAGAAGATTGGAAAAATAATTAGGGAAAAGGTGTGTTAAATATTTCCACAGTTTGGCATCCAAGATCCCGTGATTATTGTGATCCTGCTGATTCTTTGTTCAGGTATATGAGGAGCCGTGTATGTAAGGTGCACCACTATGGATGTACTCCAGATCTGTGCCCCAATAAATTTTAGAGATCATTGTGCTTTCAGTAGGCACCTTTAAAAATGAATATCTGTGAGAGGGATTCAGTAATTGCATATCAAGAAATGGAAAGTATGTGCATCTCGCTTAATTTTAGGGTTTATGCAGGGAGATCGAAAAGTCATGCACATCAATCTAAAAGTTGTTATAAATTGAATTCCAGTTTATATACAAAGTGGTTAAAATATGACGGGACTGGTTTGTGTGTAAACAAGCCGCACTGTGCAGCAGCTGTGCAACCTTGAGAGAGTGAAGCCACAACCTTCACCCTCCTTCCTGTTCGGGTTAGAACCTGTTCAGTCCTGTCGGGGAGTTGCTAGAGTAATGAGCGAAGAGAAGGTACCGCAGAGCATGGAACAACGCATCGTGATCAAATTCCTCGTTGAAATTCACCACAGACTCCAACAACAGTATGGGGAAGAGTGTCTCTCACGGACCCATGTGTTTCAGTGGTGTAAGTGCTTCAGAGAGGGCAGACAGTGCGTGGAGAATGAAGCGCATGATCATCGGCCACGAACATCCATCACCGAGCCAAACATTGATCGTGCAGACGCACTTATTCATGAGAATAGCCGCATCACTATCAAGGAACTTGGAGCAATGCTGTCCATCGGTGTTTGTAATGTAGAAGACATCGTGAAATACCACCTGCACTATTGCAAGGTGAATGCACTGTGGGTACCACACACTTTGATGGATGTGAACAAAATGGTGCGCATGCAAGCTGCCAGTCATCTCCTACAGCAGTTTGAAGACGAAGGTGATGCATTTTTGAAGTCTATAGTGACCATGGATGAAACGTGGGTGCACTACTTCATTCCCGAGTCTCAGCAGTCATTACGCGAGTGGCGGCATACCAGTTCTCCTAAACCCAAGATAGCGCGGAGGAGCCGTTCGGCAAGAAAAGTGATGGCAGCGTTCTTCTGGGACTGGCAGGGGGTTATCCATGTAGACTTTCCGACAGATGCCAGAACAGTCAGTGCAGCTTATTACTCAGACCTCCTGGCAACAGACATGAAGGAAAAGATACGATCCAAGCAGAAGACACATGGAAACAGTGCATCTTTTCTGGCCCACTCTGTATTTACATACAGCTTTTTTATATTATTTACATGAAGTAATGATATGAAATACATATTTCATGAGTACATCCACAATACATGTAAACAGATAGTGGTTGGTTTCTGATGCTGCACTTTGACGGTTAAGTCATTTGTGCTTTTAACCTTAGTTGATTGGCGTATTTGTAACTCATTTTCCATTTGGACAGCACTTGGGTGAGTTACATTATCCAGCTGTTCAGTCCAGTTGTGTTGGGTGATAACAAGTTCCAACCCTTGTCTGCCAGAGGTCTCCACAGTAGTATGACTGCAGAAGCATCTAGGCACAGATAAAATATCATTCTTTGTTTCCATTTATTATATATGAATCGGTAGACTGTTTTGGGATTTATTTGCAGAGAGGATTTTCACATTTATTTTACTGTGTTTTTAATGTTTGTAAATGTTGTTTTAATTCCTTGTTTAAAGACACACAAAGTGTTGAAAGGAAAATGTATGAAGTGCACTTACTAGCTTTGATGAAGATACTTGGGCTGTAGAGCTCCTCTTCCATTTTTTAATGAACCAGGAGTGTTTAATGAATAATACTATGTGGTTCTCAGGTAAAGACAGGTCTTCGAGATGGGTCTCCAGCTGACTGGAATCAGAGCCATGAAGTGAGGGCGTCCATGGGTCCACCAGGGCAGGACATTCCTGATTACAGAGGTCTGCCTCCTTACCACCAGAATCACATAGTCAATGGCAATCTGCCTCCACAGGTAAGGAACTAGACTTATATAGAATATTTATGTGTATGTTTCTTTTATCAGGGCATGCGGTAGCATAGTTGGTTGAGGCACTATGCTACAAGCCGGAAGGTCAAGGGTTCAAGTCCCGATGAAGTCATTTGATTTTTTTCAATTGACCTAATCCTTCCAGCCGCACTATGGCCCTGGGGTTGACTCAGCCTCTAACAGAACTGAGTACCAGGAATTAATTAAATAATTTTCCTGGGGAGTAAAGCGTAGCTGGCGCGAAAGGCTGACAACATTACTGCCATCTTAGAGCTGATTGTCTAGATAATGTGGGGTTTGTGAGACTTCAAGGGTTCCACACTTTCTAGACAGTCAGCTCACAGATGGTGGTGAGATTGCCAGCCTTATGCACCGGCTGCGCTTTGCCCCCACGAAGATTCCTGGTACTCATTTCTGTTGGAGGCTGAGTTGACCCCAGGGCCACAGTGCGGCAGGAAGAATTAGGTCAATTGAAAAATCCCGTGACCTCATCAAGAATTGAACCCACAACCTTCCAGCTTGTAGCATAGTGCCTCAACCAACCATGCTACTGCATCAGAAATTACAAAGTATGGAATTATGGTGTGAATGGGGTGCAAGTCAGTATCAGGCTGTATTTGTAAACTGTTGATATATATTGCCAGTGGTATGACCCTTTGGGATGCTGTTTTTGAGCTTCCAAACCCATATCTTCAACAGGGATACACAAGGTATTACAAAAGTGTCCACATGGCAAAACAATGGCATGAACCAAGTACAGGAGTAGTGAGAACAAGTGGGCAAAAAGGGGTCTACCACATGAGTTCAGAGATCATCAGAAGACACTGAAGAAAGGTGAAATGATATTTTGGAGGGACAGGAAGGTCTTTTTTTCTCATGCAGGGACAAAAATTGATAACTGGGGTATCTATGGTGCAGTTTGCAGAGGTGGTTGAAGCGTGAGATAAATTTGGCAGGTAGCATATTGTCGCACGTATTGGTTACTTTAGATATGTATGTGTTCTGGTCTGTTCTGACTTACCCTCGTAGCTTTGGGAGGACCACCTAGACATCACCTTGTTTTACCGTTCTGTTACTGTGTTTCCATAACTTCATTGTAACAGAAACCACTGTAATTCCCATGGTAACCAATTCTGCTTAGTGAATCATCACAGAGGTGCATGTTTGGTACTATGAGTTTCATCTGGAACGCATTTAGCAAACCATTACCCAGCAATGGCTGTATTTTCTTACTCAGGCTTTCACGCATCACGAAACCAGAATGTATGGCTGATTACAGTACACTGATGCATGGGGTGGATGCAGACCAGTTTTTGGCCCTTTGTCCTTTTATGGGGAAAACTGATGTGTGGCCAAAGGAAGTTTTTTCTGTCCACTGCAGTGCATATTGTTTAATTCCTTCTGGCTGTTTGTAAAGTCATATCAAGAAGTAAGGATTGGATGACCAGATTCCATGAAAATTGTGTCCTGTATCTACCTTCTGGAAAATGAAAGAAAATTATGCAGTGTTCCTCCATAACCTGCAAGCATAGAATCTCCATCTCCTACATCAACGTCATCCCTGAAACCCCCAGACATACTGCTGCGAAAAAGAGCCCCCACAAGAGACACTTCATTTTAGCTAGATGACAAGAGACAAGACCATGTTTTACTGAAATTTCAAACAGTCAGGACTGGCACTAGTCCTGCAAGGAGATGTGTTTTAAAAAACAGAAAGATTAGTGAAACTAGGTGGTATTATTGAAGATGTGGTGGTCTCCTGCATCCAAGGAAATGTGACACCGAGTATCACACTCTTAGAGCATACCACAACATATGATACTAAGTACCACACTCTCAGAGTGTACTAAAACATATCTAGAAGGTACAGGTATGTGCAAAGTTTCAGATTCCTGTGAATTATAATTCACAGGAATCTGTAACTGTAAACAATCTGTAATTGTAAACTATAATTATAGTTTACAATTAAAGTGTTCCAGCAATTTGCTGGGTGCTGAACACATTAAATGTACTCTGACATTTAAAAAAGGCTGGGCTTTGCTGGTATCAAACATGTTAAATACAACTGTTGGTGTTCATGATACAGTTTCAGTAGTAAAATAAGAAATAGCTATGGTGAGAATTCTCTATACGTATTTCGTATTACAGATGCCTCACAACAACCTTGGTCCACCGGGCTCGGAAGGTCCAGGCCCATATAGTATGGGACCAGCATATCCAAGTGTGAGACCTCATCTTCAGACAACACCTGCGCCCAGCTCTGCAGGTCCAAGTGCACAGCCTGCACAGCTGCAACGCCCGATATCTCAACTTGTGCATCCAGTTTCACACAGTATCACCAAGGTGAGCATTTCAATGTCTGTACCTTCCTATCTTACCATTTCTTTCAATTATAACAGATTAGAATGAAGCATTAAATATTACAGATTATGTATGTAAGATACACGGTTCTATAAATTTGTTGGCCAATTCACATTAGAATCAGGAGGATCAAAGATTAAAGATTAAAGAGTATCTGGTTTATATTCAGTTAGGAGGGAAGTATTTTACAGTATTCTGATAAGAGTTTGGGGTACCATGAAACTGGTTAGGCTGATTAAAATGTGTTTGAACCAAAACATATAGCAAAGTCCATGTAGGTAGATATTTGTCTGATAATTTCCCTATCCAGAATGGTCTAAGACACGGAGATGCTTTATCGCCACTCCTTTTCAACTTTGCTTTAGAATATGCCATTACGAAGGTCCAGGAAAACCAGGTGGAACTAAAATTAAATGAGACACATCATAGTTATTGGTCTATGCTGATGATGTAAATCTATTGGGTGATAATATAGATACCATAAAGAATAACACACACATTTTAATTGACACAAGTAAGGAGGTTGGTCTAGAAGTAAACTCAGAGAAAACTAAGTATATGTTGCTGTCGCATCAACAAAATGCAGGGCAAAATCATGACATAAAGATAGGAAACAGATGTTTTGAAGATATGGCACACTTCAGATATTTGGGAACAATGATAACAAGTCAAAACCTGATTCAGGAGGAAATTAAGGGGAGATTGAACTCGGGTAATGCTTACTACCATTCAGTCCAGAATCTTTTGTCTTCATGTCTGCTGTCCAAAAATGGAAATTAGAATATACAAATTTGATTTGTGTCATTCTGGTCCGTCACACTTTTAATTACAAAGTGGATAATTTTCAGTCTAGTGTGACATACAAGTTTACAACACTTCAGTGTTTATTCACTGTACATGTTTCGATTCAAAAGAATCATCCTCAGAGGTGTACCACTACGATCAGGAAACACTGTCATGTAAAATGTTTTAATAATATGCAATTAAGCTATGAATAATGCTCACTATATAAATTTTGTTATTATCACAGTTAGTTTTGATGTTTGTCTTAGGCATTCACGATGACACTTCTTGAAGTGTAGATTTACGTATGATGCTGTTTCTTTTAAGCGTATTTGCTGGGTATTCTGATTGGGATTTTCCACTGCACGCCATATGATGTTCACTTTTCCATCCAGTAGCCTCCCAGTATATTTAAAATTGTATTAAAATTTTCTTTTGTGTGTAAAAAATTAGTTATTATGTTAAAATATCGTGAGCCAACATTGGGTCATGTTGTTTTCCTCCTGATGGTGGGAGATGTGGTTTATTTCTCTTGATTGTATGTTCTGTAAATATATTAATTTTTTATTTTATTCTATCTTATATAGTTATATATAGTGCTTATAGGTTTATTAAAGTGTCTAGTTAGGCCTTACGTTATTATTAGTCTTGTAGTTTATGTGCGAGCTGTGTCGTTTGTACCGTTTTGAATAGTGCTGTGTCTCGTATTATATTCTTCCTGTGTTTATGACGTTGAAGAGGGTGTGTTCAAGTGATGTATAATAAAGTCAAACATGTTGTTTTGATTGTTTGTTTCCCTTATTTGTTTCTGTTCATCTACCAATTTATTGTGTTTGTTGTAGTAATATATTTGGAATTCCTCTTTTATGTTCATTATATTATGAAGACTGAAGAGTTGTAAACTTGTATGTCACACTGGACTGAAAATTATCCACTTTGTAGAATATACAAAACTATAATTTTGCCTGTGATTCTGTATGTGTGTGAAACTTGGTCTCTGACATTAAGGGAGGAACATGGACTGAGGGTATTTAAGAACAGGGTGTTGAGGAGAATATTTGGACCAAAGAGAGGTGAAGTGACAGGAGGTTGGAGAAAACTGCATAATGAATAGCTTCATAGCTTGTATTCTTCTCCAAGTATAATTAGAATGATCAAGTAAAGGAGGATGAGGTGGGCAGGTCATGTAGCACGAATGGGGGAGACGAGGAATGCGTATAGGATATTGGTGGGAAAGCCAGAAGGAAAGAGACCACAGGGAAGACCAAGGCGTAAGTGGGTGGACAGTATTAAAATGGATCTTAGAGAGATAGGATTGGATGGCATGGATTGAATTGATCTGGCACGTGATAGGGACCAGTGGAGGTCTCTTGTGAACGCGGTAATGAACCTTCAGGTTCCATAAAATGCTGGGAAGTTCTTGAGTAGCTGCACAACTGGCGGCTCAGACTATATCACTGTGAATGGTTGATTGTGGAAAATGAATCGGAAAGGATGTAGAAAGAAGCAGTCATGGCTTAATTTAAATATGAGGTATTGGAAATAAGGACTCAGTAATGATTAATGTAATGCTAAAGTGGACATAATTGTAGAAATATACTACTTGTATAAAGAGAATTTTTGTGTCTAATATGGCAGCACAACTTTTTTTTACAGAATTGCTGTTGTGAATCAAGATGAAAAAGACTGAAAATGGTTGGTGTAGAGAGTAATTGTAAGAGCATATACAAGAATTGTGTATGTGAAGTACGTGGGGAAGTCATAAAATTTTAATTATCATCCAGAAGAAACAGAGACACAGCTGCAAGAAATTGTATGTGAGTTAGCCCTTCTCTACATATGCCCCCTGCAAGGCCACGCATTTTCCCTAACCATGCATTAGCTGCATGCAGGATACCTTGATCATAGACGGTCTCATTTTGACTGTTTAGGAAACTCTCCACTACAGAAATGACATCATTATAATCTTTGAATCGCTTACCACTAAGTGACTTCTTTAGCCATGGAAAGAGGAAGAAGTCACTTGGTGCCAGGTCTGGTGGATGGTGGAGAATTTCATACCCCAAACTGGCATCAAGTGTCGTAGCATGAGCAGCATGAGCCAGTGCGTTGTCAGGAAGAAGTCGCACATCTTTTCCCAGCATTCCGTATCACTTTTTATTGATTTCATCCTGTAATTTTCTCAGAAGGTTCTGGTATTACTCGCCAGTATTGGTGACGCCCTTTTGTGCATAGTGGATCATGATGACCCCCCACTGATTCCAGAACACGCTCAACATCACCTTTCCTGATGACAGCTGGGATTTGGCCTTCTTTGGTGGCAGCGAGTCTGCATGTTTCCACTGCTTGCTCATTTCCATTGTTTCAGGGTCATAATGATAGTCCCAACATTCATCTATCATGATCAGGCAGTTGAAAAATTCCACCTTTTCATCTTGACACAATTGCAAAGTTTCTTTGCCACATCCATCTGTTTCTGTTGAACTGGTGTCAACAATCATGGCACCCAATGCATAGCAACCTTTGTCATGTGTAACTCATCATGGATGATGTTGAAAACCTACCCATGGCTAATGCGGATCTCATGAACAATAGCTTTGATAGTTATGCACCTATCAGATAGAATCAAAGCTTCCACCTGTGCCACAATTCCCAGTTCCTCAGTGAGAGATGGTCTTCCACTTCGGGGTTCATCTTTGAGACTTGTTTGTTCACAATGGAAGCACCTCTTTCACCTGACCACTGTACACCTTCCTGATACACAGAGTTCATCTGGTCATGAATCTCCCTGGCAGACTTCCCTTGCAAATGCAGGAACTGTATCACAGTGCGAGCCTCCACTTTCTCAAGAGACATTGCAATTTTACTTCTGCCCCAGCTCTTCGCTCCATCTGTCCACTTGACATGGAAAAATTTGACTGTTCAGCAAGCTCAGGAAATGGGCTATCTGCTATATAGAACAATATTTTGGAATTAATGATTTTCTCATGGTGATAATTAAAACATTATTATTTCCCATCATAGAGTGGTGGTGTTAATAAAAGTGTGATTTCTTAAAGTGGTGAAAATTATTTATTTTGTTCACCTTAGTTTAACTCTCATTTCATGTGTTTCCTTGTACTTGACTAAGTGTACTGTAGTGTAATGGTGTGTTCCAGAATTTGCAAGTTCTTTTATGTTTTATTCCCAATAAATGTGTGTACTTGCATATATCCAAACCCATTAATGGTTTGTCACTGTCCTATTTTGCTTTTTAATTCAGCTCTGAAAGAAGGTGAAACAAGAGCCTTCTGATGTAACTATTGTTTTGCAGCCTGTGCCAGGGATAGGAGGGGACCATCCCCGTGCTGTGACCCACCATTTGCCAGATCAGAATCAGAATGTGAACATTAAGCCGACAACATCTGTAGCCTCTGCCACTGCAGCAGCCAGTCAGGCAGTGGCAAGCAAGCAACACCATGAGCAGCAACGACTCACACATGAGCAAGTATGTTTCACATGTTGCGTATTGTCTTGAATAGTCTAGGGAAGAAGTATGAATAAGTGAAAACATGAGTAATACATTGTATTATATTGACCTCCTGTTATTCCTCTTGTGCCCCTAACATTGAACACTAAGATATGTAGGTAAAGGTGAGTAAAGTAATTTTGCCGTTGTTTTGTATGGGTGTGACACATGTAAGGGGGAAAACCATGAATCGCAAGTGTCTGAAAACAAGAAAAGGTTAAGCTATCCCTGTAACAGGCTGTGAAGGCCTATAGGATTGTGAGATGTTGAGAGTTCCACTTTATCTAGGCAGTCACAGATGGCAGTAAGATTGTCAGCCTTACGCGCTGGCCTTGAGACAAAAAAAAAAGAATGTATTCTTGACAATGAGGATGCAGACATATCGGCTGGGAAAGGATTGAGCAGTGTATCCTTGGTCCCAGATCAGCAGTTCATATTTCACTGTGTGTTTGTATATTCAAAATTAAAGAGTGGCTATCAGAGAAGCACTCTAAATTGACTTGCCACACCAGATATGGGGCAACTGCAGGTCTTCATTGAAGGACCTTCAGAAAACTGTCTAGGGACCCACTGGCTTATAACAGAACAGTCTTGTTTACTGTCTACTATGTATTGAAATGGTACAGATATGTTATGGTCCTCTTGCATAACACTATATGCAGGGAATGTGGACAGGAGGAGAAATTCTCTTACCACATATTTTGTCAGTGGCCATCTCTGGCTGAACATAGAATGAAGTTCTTGGATTCTGCACAGTAGGGCCTGAGGCAAGAAGGTTCTGGCTCTAGCACTGAGGACAGCGCTCTTCTTAACCCTTCAGTGATGCCAGACATTTAATTCCTACTCATTCCTTGGGACAGGATATTTAAAGATTTAAAATGGTAAATGTAACATTTCACTTAAAGTGTAATAAATTAGGAAAAACTGGAGTTTTGTTTTTCTAATTTACACACCACTTTCAGAAAAGTATATGGAATCCATGTATTATCCACACTGCTTTAGAAGTATTTTTTTGGTGCAGTAAGCCTATAAATATTAGGAATAATAGTATCATATTACCTTAGAAATTCAGCTGAGTGTGTTAGTCATGAGAACATTGCATGCAGAGCCCCACGTCACACCAGTAGACAGTTTTGACACCCAATACATCATTTCTTTGGTCTTGATTTCTTCACAGTTGGTGGAAGCTTGCTTATAAAATTTCTTTCTCTTAGACAGGGCACTGTTTTGTCTGACAAATGTCAACCCAGCACTTTGCATTCTACATCATTAGCATATTTCACAGTGAATTTTGATTGACAATTGATCAGTTTTTTTCCCCTCTGTTATTCCTGTATATTATCATCACATTCAGAAATTTTCCTTTTGTCCCTTATAGTTTTTGCATATGCTCCCAATGGATGTTTGTTCTTTTCTCGATTCTGTCATTTACCACAGAACTGAGTAAAGCACAGACATCCATTTTCAGTGTCATATTCTGAATCTGATCAAACTTTGTTCTGATTCGCTTTGAAGTAAATATGTTCTCCAGTCGTCGTGACACAACACAGCTGGCCACTTTGCTGCTCGCAGCTGGCCTTGGCTGCAAAAACCAAACTGCATGATACATATTTATAGAACAAAGGGGAATTACAATAGTATCATTCATGTAGAGAACTGTTTATCATTTGCTACTTAGCAGTCATAACGCACTTCTTAGAGTCAGCATCACATCTCAAAGTTGTAGATTCTCCACGTGTTTTCTCTTGGTTACAGATTCCAATCTAGAAGCAGCACTGGTCAGAATATGCCTAAAGAGAATTGACTTTTCATTCTATTAGCATGAAGGACAGCACACAATATCGATCTATCATATTTAGTTCATAAGAATTCCCCAAGGTGGAGATAGGTTTGTACCATAATAAGCATACCAACTGGTGAAGTAGAAAACTTTTTCAAAGAATTAAAATGTATTACAACTGCTGCGGAAAGTTCAAAGTGGGGCAAAAAACATATAAAATGATAGTCTGCAATTTTCTGTTTAATATCATACCAAAGGAATTGCCTTACGTGAAAAGAAACAGTTCAACATATGAGCTGAACCTTACCACTGCATTACTCATGCCAGGTATAGACTACAGCAACATGTGACAGAAACCGCTGGTATGCCATGTACGGACTACAGGGTTGAAGGGTTAAAAGTCTTAGTGAAATCAGGGATACACAATAGTCCCAGTGGTGGTGTGAGTGCTTGGGGGAACTGAAATTTGTCCCTCCTCCACATCAGTAATCATACTCAAGATACGACGATGATGATGATGATGATGATGATGATGGGGGAGATCATGGATGCATACAGAATTTTGATGGGGAAACCTCTTGGAAAATTGTTCACTAGGCAAATGAAGAAGGAGATTGGAGAATAACTCTAATAATAGAACTCAGGAAGGTAGGTTGTGAGGATGGGAGATGGACGGAACAAAATCAGTGTTGTGTCCAGTGGTGGGGTTTCATTTTAGCAGTGGATTGAAATGACTGATAAAGAAACAGGTTTTGTAGATGTGGACAGAATTCATGTGACTCAGGACAGGATCTGGCGGCAGACTCTTGTGAACACAAATGAACCTTATGATTACACAAAAGGTGGAGAATGTTTTCATGAGGAGAGCAGCTATCACCAGAAATAGGTCTCTGCTGCATGGAGCTACTTAGTATAGACATGTTGTTTCAGTATCATTTAGTTATGGGAATGGACTGGATGGCTGAGGGGCTGGATTTGGAGTTGTGGTAGGGGCAAGATTTTTCTCCTCTCCACATCATCCAGAACGGTTCTGGGACCCACCCAGCTGACCACTTACCTCCAGCTAGTGCCGAGGTCAAGAATACATGGGTCTATACATCCACTCTCACATACATCTTCACGGCATAGTGCTTGATTAGTTAAGCACTTCACCATAGCATTTAGTCACAAGATTAATTTCTGTTGCAGTTTCGTGCTGCTCTGCAAATGGTAGTCAGCCCAGGTGACCCACGTGAGAATCTAGAACAATTTATGAAAATAGGAGAAGGTTCAACAGGTACTGTGTGTATTGCTGTTGATCGCACTACAGGGAGACAAGTTGCAGTCAAGAAGATGGACTTGCGTAAACAGCAGCGGCGGGAACTGTTATTTAATGAGGTATGATGCCAGTCACTTCCTTTGTATAAATTAATTTTGATCATTAAATTGTTCTGCCGGTCATGGTAGCCGAGTGGTCTAAGGCATGCACTGTCTTCGCTCGCTCGGAAGCCGGAATCGTGGGTTCGAATCCCACTCAGGGCATGGATGTTTAGTTTGTGTGTGTGCGTTTTTCTGTGTTTGTATACAGGTAGAGGCCTTGCGACAAGCTGATCACCCGCCCAAGGAGTCATACCGAATGTGTAAGATCTAGAAAAGCCGAGGTGAACGGAGAAGTTCATGGAGGTAGGCCTAGGCCCACTGGGGCTGTAGTGCCAAGGGAAAAAAAAATTGTTCTAGATTTTTAGGTTGGCCCAGTGGTGTAATATTCACAGTGTTTGAGTTTATCTGTTAAATATACCTACAAAGAATGATGATTCAGAACAAGTGCATAAATTAATCACAGAGCTTCCATATAGGTGAACTAGTCTGTTGTTTTTAATTAAGCTATTTACATTTTGCAGCTGTCATAGTATCTGAAGCCAGTGATCAGACATTGTATAGCTATTGAAGTATACCAATGGGGTAATTAGTCTTTTAATTTCCTCAGCTGGCTTTATTTTTAATTATCTCCTGCTTTGATGTTTTTGTAATCGTCAGTACCATCCACATTACTTAACAAAATGATAATTATCACATATGATACACTTGAAAAGAAGTGTCATTATTGTTAGTATGTCACAATAGTGATAATACCCAGCAGGCCCAACAGTATAACACACGCAGTCACAGGAGCAAGACACAACAAAAGCACAACACACACACGATAGTGAAGGAGTGCTCCAACAGAGGAGGATGGGTGTGGCTGGCGTAGTGAGGTGCGACGTAGCGATGAGGAATCCTGAACAATTTTAATATTTTTAACGTTTGACATTTGTCAATGTATATGATAGATATATATTTTAGTTATTTTAATGTGAGGACAGGGCATGCAATGAACTAGTTTGGCGTGGATTGAGTAAGCACCTGAAGATGGCATTTTTATGCCGAAACATGTAGTGCGAGTGAGAGAAGGAGATAGATGAGTGTATGCACTGCAAGACGGTTTAAATAAATCATGGTGATAATAAAAATTGTGTCTATGAGTGTAATTCTTTATATTCAGTAAGGAACAGGAAAGCTAGGATCTTGGGCCAGAGTCCAGAGGTAGATAACTATATACAGATTGTTACTAATTAACTGAGATTAATAAAGTCAGAAAACCTGAAGGGAAAATATCATTTGAGAGACCTTGGCATAAATGAGAGGATAATTTTAAAATGAGTCTTAAAGAAACAGGATATGAGAGTGTGACCTGGAGTCAGCTCTCTTAGGATACAATACAATACAATATGGACTCTTGTGAACATGGTAATAAACCTTTAGGTCCCTTAAATGGCAAGGACTTCTGTGGTAAGCTGAGTGACTAACAGCTTTTTGAGAAGGATCCTGTGTGTGGTGTTAATTAATATTCAGTCATTCTTTTACAGGACTGTTCAACACTTGGTATGAAATATTTCTTAAATTATGTAACACAGTGTGGTGAAGTCACAATAATCACTTACGGCTTGTAGCAAGGACTTCATGATAGCATCATAAATGGTAGAGTCTTTTCTGGTACCATCATAATGAATGATTCCTAACTACCTGCCACTATTATCCCATAACGTTTTTACACAAACTGTACCTGTAGTTTTGCTTCTGAAATTGTTATGTCTAGCAGTCCATAAATATCAGTTAATGCAAACTTTCTTTTCTACCCATGTCTAGGAGAAACATTGTATTCCAGAACCTAGCTGAGTAGGTTATCCCCTCCAAGTTTTAACTGCTGAGAAATGTACATCACATGACAATCTCTTCAGTCCAGCAGGTTCTTTCATTATGCACTGTGTTGCTTGGCTAGTTAAGCTCTGGCATGCAGAGGCACCATGCAGCATTTTCCCCACCTTGTCACACAGGTTTACCCTTCCCCAGTGCTTCCAGTGACCTAGGTTGGGCAGTGATGTCACAGAGTTAAACTGTGCAGTTGTATATTTTAGAGTTTGTCCCCATCATACAGATACTCATTTTGGCTGGTTCCAGCTGCAATATTTTGAAAAACTATAATTATGGAAATGAAAGGGGAGAACTTAGACATGAACATGAAGCTTGAAATAATACATCTGTGTGAAGTTTTGAAACTAAACAAAATAGGATGGTGATATTGATTAACTTTATTGACATTGTTTACCATGTTGAAAAGGGGATAATACGGTATATACTGAACCAAAGCGAAAACAAATGTTCCTTTTCTTCATGAATACATATTGTTGAAATTCGTTCCACAATCTGAGTTGGTCACTGTGCGCTGAACATAATGAGAAGAGACTTGTGCTACCAGTGTAACTGCATAGGCACGGGAATAACAGGTGATACGGATCCTGTGACAAGGAGAATTAATTTCATTATGAGTGTGATAACTGAAATTGGTTAATTTAATTACATAGGAGAATTAGAAAGTTGTGGATTTTTATGCTATTTATGTGCCACTGCCATAGCATGCATTTTACAGTTAAGTGTAGTGGTTGTTTCAACAACTACTTCTTACATGTGTAATGTCAGAAAGGTGCATGTTCTCCAATCATGGCATTTGGAACAATCTGTAACGTGTACGTATATTAAGAATTAGTCTGATTTAAACTTTCCATGTGTTACATCTGTTATTCTAGATAAATGAAGTTGGCACATTATTCTTACAAGTGCACAGGCAGAGGATTGTGAGAGGAATGTGTGTGAGACTTGTGAGAATGCAGCAAATAGTGTTTTTGTACCTGTACTCCATAAACATAGTGACCGTGAAAACATCAAAATATTGTCTGGAAAATTGAACATAGTTTGAATCAGTAATGAATTTTAAATGTCTGGATTGTACGAGTATTTCAAGGACACTATCAAATTTATTTGCTTAATTTACACATCTTATAACCAAAAACTTCATGTCTGAAAATTGTGTGTAAAATATGCAAATACTACTTTTCACACTATAATTTAACACATTGGATTGAGGTTATGAAGAACCGTGAGAAAACATGATTTCTCTTCTTTCTGGTCTCATTTATAATCATAATTTTGAACCTGCTTGCTTAAGTGTTATGTTTTTCCATTGTGCCACATTATCAAATTACTGTTTATTGTTGCTAATTTAGCAGTGATTATTGCTAAGTTAATATAAGATGCTGAAAATGCTACAGGCTCCTTGATTGTACCACACTATATTGCTCACATATACAGAATACAGTAAGGCACTTAACACGAAGTCCCGCTGGCAGTAAGGATTATTTTTGTGACAGCTTCCCCTCCTGTAACTGCTCTAAGTTTCCTACATATGCCACTAACATTTAGAGATCAGGCTTTCTCAACACAAGAAGTAGAGGTTAATTGAGAAAAGTTAAAGAAGAAAAAGATTAGCTTACACTTGAATAAATTAATCAGTTAAGTCAAATGTTGTCATGATATTCTCTGTCTATTTTTCAGGTGGTGATCATGCGGGATTATCATCACCCAAATATTGTTGAGATGTATGACAGTTTCCTAGTGCAAGATGAGCTGTGGGTGGTAATGGAGTTCCTAGAGGGCGGAGCACTCACAGATATTGTTACACATGCCAGGATGGATGAGGAACAAATTGCTACAGTCTGCAAGCAGTGTCTTAAGGCGCTGGCATATCTCCACTCACAAGGCGTCATACACAGGGACATTAAGAGTGATTCAATATTGCTGGCAGCTGACGGCAGGGTATGTTACTTCTGGTACAAGCCATATAATGTCATCACTACACTTCATGCTGTAATTTTCCAAATGTAAAGGGAGATTGTTTTTTCTAGTGTCTTCAGCATCAGAGTTCATTCTGAAATTTTGTCCTGTACTGGGGCCAGTATTTTTACATTTAGCTCTATGAAATCATTGTGGGCTCTGTAGTAGGGAAGTTGTAAAAGGTAAAGGCAAAGCTATCCCTATAGCAGGCTACGAAGGCCCATAGGGATGTGAGTTGTCGAGGTTCTCACATTTTCTGTAGACAGTCAGCTCACAGATGGCAGTAAGCCTTACACACCAGCCACCCTTTACCCCCCAGGAAGATTCCTAGTATGCATTTCTGTTAGAGGCTGAGTTGACCCCAGGGCCGTATTGCGGCTGGAAGGATTAGGTAGATTGAAAAATTCAGTGACCTCATCTGGAATCGAACCCGCAACCTTCCAGCTTGCACCATAGTGCCTCAACCAACTACACTACTGCGTGCCCCTTTCACTTTTATGTTATTGTTATAATTTGTAGTAAATATATTTAATTTTACACCATGCAGATTTTTGTTTAGATAATTATTGCAGATTATTAAAAGGGGTGGGATGTTAGTTATGGCAAATGTTGGAACCTTTCCATACGAATCCTGGATAATGATCCAGTACAGATTGTGGCCTTCTGGACTGCGATACTGTTTAGTCTTCTGCATGGATACCAACATTTTGTCTCCAACTTCAGAGTTGAAATGTTTATGATGAGAAATTGGCTTGGTTAAATAGGAAGGTGGTCATGAAAACCTCACATCATACTGAAATTTTGAAGTGATCTTAAAAGTTGAAGTAAAAAGTATCTACCTTGCAGCAGCACAGAAATATACATTAGTAAGGAAATTTGCATGCCTTTAATTTTTGATGAATTAAATAGTAGTCATTTTGCAAATACTCTGTACAGGGATGCATTATTATCTTAATCTGACTTGTAATTTCTGGATTTATGACTTGTACTAGCTTAATATACTACTTAAAATTAAAAAAAAAAATGATTCCATGTTGAATGAGATGGTGTCATAACTATGTAACCATCAAAGGTTTACATCTGTAAGGATAAAAAATTGCATTGTATTTTTCTCTTAAGTTTATATGAACTATCACAGTGGTCTAAAATAGGGTACATTCTTTATTTTGTTCTTTGCTTCATACACATACAGAAGCATGCCCTTTTCTCTTTTGGTGGTATCTGAGGTAGCAACTAACATGACACATTAGAGATGCACAAACTTTGTTTTCCATGGTCTGAAGCATTTTTTTCCCCCCCCACTCTGCCATTTGCACATTTTATATAAAAAACGTGTCTCAGTGTTAATGGGGATTTGTTGCAGGTAAAATTATCAGATTTTGGTTTCTGTGCTCAAGTATCACAGGAGTTGCCCAAAAGGAAGTCATTGGTGGGAACACCATATTGGATGTCACCAGAAGTTATCTCCCGTCTGCCATATGGCCCCGAAGTGGATATCTGGTCTTTAGGTAACAATGCAAGAATAAAAAATTGTTACATTTACTAAACAAACAAGGTATTTATTTTGTTCTACTTTTGTGTGCCTTCATGGTATGCTTAGCAAAGGGTAGTTTTGTGACATGACTGCTTGGTGGACACTGTGCATGATCAGAGAGATTATTTTCTCATACATGACGTAAGAAGACAGTATAATGAACAAAGAGTTCTTCCAGTTGCACAGATATCCAGTCCTACATATCTTATGTTGTTGATGTTATAAATAATAATGTAAGTGCTACCTGCTTTCATGCTCGTGTCTTGCTTGGGTTATTCTTCGACCCTGAAGATGGAGCTGTGTGTTCCTCCAAAACATCGATTGACTTTCAGTGGACTACATGGTGTTATATCCCAGAAGACAATACTCTTCTACGGAGATTGTTCACAAAGTCAAGACATTTGGGTCCCTGAATTTTGTTACATAGAGGTTTTCTCTTTTTATGCAGGCATTATGGTAATAGAGATGGTAGATGGTGAGCCCCCATTCTTCAATGAACCGCCACTGCAAGCCATGCGCAGAATACGTGATATGCCTCCACCAAAACTGAAGAATACTCACAAGGTGAGTTTTTATGCCTGTTGAGGTGTAACGTAAAGGGTATTTTAAAACTGTCCTCAGCAGTTAGTCATTACACTATATATTCAATCCTGGTGCAGTTAATGGATATATATTTTTGCTGCTTAATTTTATGTGATCTATCATTTAATGAACTGGCATTTAAACTCTTCATTTTAGTCATCCTTAGAACTAAGGGTTTAATGTTCAAGTTCAAATTAAGTCAACCTTCACTGTAAACCACAGAATGATTGATTCCAGCTGTAGAACCTTACACTCATGTTGTAATATGTTACACATTATGTGTGTCTGTATTCCTAAGTATTGTATTTGGCCTAATAACTGTTTATTAAAATGTAGGTTTCTTCTGGTTTTATCAACTGTCATAAATATAAATCTATGTGTTTGGCATTTTCTGATGTCTGATCTTTATTGCCATAAACTGATCATTTATATTTCTGAGTTAAAATTTATCTTATTCAAAAGCTTCAAATTTCAAATAGCATGTTTATTATTCATGTAATAATAAATTAATTGCTATATTTCATGACAAAATATATTTTTATTAACAGATCACTCTACCGATTAATCAGTCGATTAATCAAAGAAAGGTAAGTAGTTAATTAAAATTTACTTGATTGATACTTCTAATAAACACTAATAACATAGAATACACAGATTTTTGAGGAATACTCATTTGCTATTTAAAACTTCAATAACAAGATTCTGATGATTAGGAATAAGTGATTGATGACTTTGCAGTTAGTCTTGTGACTAGCACACACTCCTGTCATCAGACAGATCTGAATTTGAGACATGGCCTCTGTGCTCTTTATCTGTAGTAGAAAAATCAGGTTTGTTCGACATTCTATAATAAGTTTTCGTGTTCTCTTCCATTCTCTTTTACTTTCCCCTGTCTCCAGTAATAATGCTATACCTCCAGTAATTAATTCAAACTTACATTTCAAAATTTTAAGCTGATCATTGTGTTGACTTATTGATGTATAGTCTTCTTGTTTTAAGTTCCACTGTTTATAACTTGTTAAGCACTCTTTACATGAATGAGTTAGTGTCTCATATCTGTCTGGCAGTTTGTCCCTTTCCCAATCCAGAAATGCAGAACAAAATCATCGAATTTTGATCGTACTGTTTCTAGCTGTAAAAATTGGTTTTTGGTTTGCATACCCTTCCTTTTCTGTAGGATATTTCTCAGTAGGTTCTTGATTAAAAGGTCCAGGAGTTGAAATGATGATTTTGGAATTAGTAGGCTATGACTGTATCAGTGCTTGTTAGTTTTTATATGCAGAGAGGTTCATTACCTTGTTTGTGGCCTCATTACCAGCAGTTCTTTGTGTGGGATGCTGGCAAATGGATGGCCTCTTTCTGATGATTCATCCGCATGCTACTGCAGAGATCTACTTAGAGGTCTTGTCACTGCCTGATAAATGTTTTTATTAAAGCCACTTTACTTAGCTTACATTGTAAGCATATGCCAGAATGACTTCCCTAGTTCCAAGATGAGAATTTGGAAAACTTTCTAGAATTGTGACAGCAAGGGGAATTTTCAGTGTAGACCAGATTTTCACTGTAATAATTTATACCACTAGCAACTTCACAGTGCACCAAAATGAGATACCATATTTACCCAAATGGAAGATGGTTCCAAATGCAAGATGACCTCATACTAGGAAACACGTCTGCACAGAAAAAGTAATTTATGAATTGATTTTATTCTCCCACCACAAACATATGAAAGAAAATAAATGTTAGATAATATGTTGTTCATAACACCAAATTAGTTTTGATCTTGAAGTCACTTCATTAGTTTCCCTCTGTTTACCATTCCTGTCACCTGACTCAGCTGCATTCCAACTTTCTGTCTGTCATTCATTGCCCACACTATCGTGTTCGCTGCCAATATCCCACCCTTCTTCCTATCCTCCCTGCCATGTACTGAATTAGATGTGCAGCACCTTTTAAATCCTTTGACTGTTGCTTATGGAGAGGTCCACTGGCACGTCAGTTCTACACTTGGCTTCTTTATTGTCATGGTCTTGTCAGAACATGGTTGTCTGCCAAGAGCCATTTGGCATACAGTTGTTTTAAGTGATCATTAAAAGAATTATGCACTTGGATCTGATGTACAGTGTTAAATGATACTTAAAGGTGTCCAGCCCAAGCATTCATTGTTGTCTCAATAGTACTCTCGTCTCCTGTTCCAGACAACTTTAGTCATCCATTGCTTAGTTTGACGCTAGGCTGACACTAGTCCCATGGGTAGCTGCACGTAGGGTATGGTTTTTCAATCAATTGTCACATGTGGTAATTTTGTGTTGCCTGCCCACTCTCTCTCCGTTACACCAATGACATCTTTTAACTGCCAGATTTATGAAAACAGATTGTGTGCTTGTGCCATTCATTGATGATAGAATTATGTGTATTATTGAAGTATGCTGGCAGTTAATTGGCATGGCCTTGAAATATGATGGTGAAAGCCTTCACTGTAGAGGAAACCTGTTCCTTCACATCATTTGTACACACTACCTTGAGATGGACTCAAATTTCAGCATCAAGTTGAATAATGATATTGCATAAATCTCACATTCCATTGTTACTGAATCCATACAAATGACAGTTTTCATGCAGAAGTGGAATATTTTCTGTTTTTATTGTTTCCATTTTTGTATGTTCACCTCTGGAAACACTGTGTTTTCCTGTTACTTCACAGGCGTTTGTTCTGCATGTTTAATCACCATAGTTATAAAGTATGACTCATGACTGCAATGCCTGATACTCTCTGACACTTATTTCCTTGCATACTAATAGTCCTTTGCATCACCTGCCATTTTTAATCCTGAGGGTCACTTGAGTTATCACAGAATCCCATGATACTGTACAATAGGTGAATTACCACTTTTATTTTTAACTTCAGGCAATCTCATGGCAGGTCATGGTTACTGACCTTGAAATATATTTCTTTCTTGCTTTCTTGGTTGCCACTGTAATAGCACAGTAGTGTGAATTGTGCTCTGAACATGCTAAAAGCTTAAAATTCATTAGAAACATCTAATATATATACTCTGAGCCATTCAAATTCGTGATCATGCTCCCTAGTTTTTGTAATTCTTGAAGGAGCAAAAAAAGACTACTCTTTCATCCAGGCAAATATGATACTGATCTTTTTGACATGGCTGCAACGTGCAAAGCAAAAGCACATGTCATAAAATTCTTGAAGTTCGAAACTGAAAAAGTTACCATTTGAATTGAGAATGTTTTTCTTGTTTTGCTCTTGAAAATTCAAGACTACTGAATGCCTGCTATATTGCAGTAGCTGCAGAAAACAGTGTCTTCTGGTATCCAGGTACATTTCACATTCGTATAAAAAGCTCTGTGAGACATTTAAGGTCACCTCCTGTGATTTCTAGGATAGCATACCAGAATATAATCAGTAAAGCTTGAATTATTTCTGTAGATATTCTGTTTCAAGTTTTATCACAGGTAAATATCACACAGTTTCCAATCTAGGGAATGTAGCATCCAAAGCCTTTTCCTCATTATTCGTTCATTGAAAGCAACTCATAGTCAGCAGTGAATTCTTTGTGATGTTTGCTGATGCATTATGCTGCTAAAGATACTGATAATAAATTTTCAGTAATTGTTCAGTATTTTAACTCAACTATGATTGGATGCTACAGATGCAAAAAACACTCACAACTGACTGGTCACAAGTACAAAGATGCACCAGTTCACAACAATAAACAGTGTACTTTTTATTGCTGAAGGAATCAGCATATGTTTTGGTATGATTCATGTCTTTAAGCTACCTGGATCTGAATGTTTCTGATTAGATTTTGGAAGACATTTTCAATGGCTATTGTAGTATCACATAAGTATTTTACTGTATATATTTATCAGAATTATTAGAATATTACAAAGTGGATAATTTTCAGTCCAGTGTGACTTACAAGTTTACAACACTTCAGTCTTTATTCACCTTACGTGTTTCGATTCAAAAGAATCATCCTCAGAAGAGCACCACTATGATCAGGAAACACTGTCACATAAGATGTTTTAACAATATGTACTTACTCATAAGCTATGAATAATGCTCACTATATACATTTTTTGTTATTATCACAGTTAGTTTTGATGTTTGCCTTAGGCATTCACGATGACGCTTCTTGAAGTATAGATTTACGTATGGTGCCATTTCTTTTAAGCGTATTTGCTGGGTATTCTGATTGGTATTTCCCACTGCACACGATATGATGTTCTCTTTTCCATACAGTAGCTTCCCTGTGTATTTAAAATTGTATTAAAATCGTACAAGCGACACAGCACGCACATAAACTACATGACTTACAATAAGAACATACAATCAAGAGAAATAAACAACATCTTCCACAATCAGGAGGAAAACAACATGACCCAATGTTGGCTCATGATATTTTAACATAATAACTAAATTTTTATATGCAAAAGAAATTTTAATACAATTTTAAATACATAGGGAAGCTACTGTATGGAAAAGTGAACATCATATTGTGTGCAGTGGGAAATCCCAATCAGAATACCCAGCAAATACGCTTAAAAGAAATGGCACCATACGTAAATCTATACTTCAAGAAGCGTCATCGTGAATGCCTAAGGCAAACATCAAAACTAACTGTGATAATAACAAAATTTATATAGTGAGCATTATTCATAGCTTAATTGCATATTATTAAAACATTGTACATGACAGTGTTTCCTGATCGTAGTGGTACCCCTCTGAGGATGATTCTTTTGAATTGAAACATGTAAGGTGAATAAAGACTGAAGTGTTGTAAACTTGTATGTCACACTGGACTGAAAATTATCCACTTTGTAATTAATAGTGTGACGGACCAGAATGAGACACATCAAATTATTAGAATATACAAAACTATAATTTTACCAGTGGTTCGGTATGAGTGTGAAACTTGGTCTCTGACATTAAGGGAGGAACATAGACTGAGGGTGTTTGAGAACAGGGTGTTGAGGAGAATATTTGGACTGAAGAGAGATACAGTGACAGGAGGTTGGAGAAAACTGCATAATGAGGAGCTTCATAGCGTGTACTCTTCACCAAGTATAATTAGAATGATCAAGTCAAAGAGGATGAGGTGGGCAGGGCACGTGACACAAATGGGGGAGATGAGGAATGCGTATAGGATATTGGTGGGAAAACCAGAAGGAAAGAGACCATTGGGAAGACCAAGACGTAGGTGGGTGGACAGTAGGATGGGATGATATGGATTGGATTGATCTGGCTCAGGATAGGGACCAGTGGAGGGTGCCTGTGAACACGGTAGTGAACCTTTGGGTTCCATAAAATTCTGGGAAATTTTTGACTAGCTGCAGAATTGGCAGCTCCTCCAGAAGGGCTCAGCTCCATGAGTATGTAAAAGTATATTTATCAGGCATAGACAGGACCTTTAGTTCAATCAATGTGGTAGCATGTCACCATCTTAGTGGAAAGAAGCTGCCCACTAGCTAGCATCTAACTCCATGAACAGGTGGTAATAAGACCACCAATGAAACAATGAACCTGTCTGTACTTGTTGCCACAGTACCATAGTAAGTCAGCAGT